TTACAATATACACTCTAGATCCCAGTTCACTTCCTTACCACATACACTCTAGATCCCAGCTCACTTCCTTACAATATACACTCTAGATCCCAGTTCACTTCCTTACCACATACACTCTAGATCCCAGCTCACTTCCTTACCATATACACTCTAGATCCCAGTTCACTTCCTTACCACATACACTCTGGATCCCAGTTCACTTCCTTACCATATACACTCTAGATCCCAGCTCACTTCCTTACCATATACACTCTAGATCCCAGCTCACTTCCTTACCATATACACTCTAGATCCCAGCTCACTTCCTTACCATATCCACTAAATAATTGGTATGTATTTTCCTTAAGGTGCTGAGAAATATAAAGCATTGTATCCTAGCAACAGATTTGGCTTTGTTTTTTCCGAATCAAATCAAACTAAGAAAAATCCTTGATGAAAAGACATTTGACTGGGATTCTAATGAGCACAGGTAAGACTACCTTTAAAATACACGTGTGTATGTATACTAGCATGTAAAAATGCTTTAAAAGCATCCGCTTTAAAACTATATATATAGAACTGCATCGTAAAGATTCGTGACTTCAATAACATTTAAAATACAGAGATGTCGTTGTTGTATATAAAAATACCACGTCGTTTAAACCAATCAAAGCGCCATCTTTTGACGGATATATATATACAACACAAGATGCTCAAGGTAAGGTAAACGGTTTATGTTAGTACGGTCATTGGTTGCATTCTAATTCCTTGAAACTTCTCCAGATTTTAGTTAAAACATTTTATTTTAAATTTCTAAATGTATCAATTCGTTTTTGTATTTTCTTCTGAGGAATAATTTAATTTTTCCGAAAATGTTTTTTTTTCTTTTTAAATCAAGAAGCGAAGCGAATGAATATCAAATATAATTAAAAAATAAAGTTTTTAAAACATTTCTGGATATTCGATAACGTTTCTTTTTAGATCAATTGATGGCGATGTTTCTAACTGTTAAAGTATCTCTTCGATAGAATTAAATAGATTGCGACGTTTCGAACCGTTAAAGCCAATCCTCACCAGGACGTATTTGTTGAACTTTTTAGGCTCTTGTTGGAAGCAATAGCCATGACTGCCTGTGATCTGTGTGCCAGCACGAAACCATGGGAAGAACAGCGGAAGACAGTGAAAGTGATTTTTGAAGAGTTTTACGAACAGGTACATCATCATCATCATCATCACACGAGTCCTTTCATCATCATGACACTTCCGAGTCCTTTCATTATCATGACACTTCCTAGTCCTTTCATCATCATGACACTTCCGAGTCATTTCATCATCATGACACTTCTGAGTCCTTTCATCATCATGACACTTCCGAGTCCTTTCATCATCATGACATTTCCGAGTCCTTTCATCATCATGACATTTCCGAGTCCTTTCATCATCATGACACTTCCGAGTCCTTTCATCATCATGACATTTCCGAGTCCTTTCATCATCATGACACTTCCGAGTCCTTTCATCATCATGACACTTCCGAGTCCTTTCACCATCATGACACTTCCGAGTCCTTTCATCATCATGACACTTCCGAGTCCTTTCATCATCATGATACTTCCGAGTCCTTTCATCATAATTAACTATTAGGAAGAACAAAATTCGTCATGGACGATTGGAGCTTTATTATAAAAAATGGACAACTAAGTGAATCAGGGAAATCAGTCTTCAGTAGTAACCCTGATTCGATCTCCCTCTGGTGGTCAAATAATCCATTGTCTTAAGTAAACAGGATTGTTTTTGTTTTTCGTTAGAAGCGAGGTATTTCATGTGAACTCAGTACTTACTTGGGTAAAAATTGGGGAAGCCGTTTTTGTATTTGTTTATTGTTCTCCGCACGGTAAACTTGGGAACTTACAACGCTAAAATCCGGGGTTCGATTCCCCGCGGTGGACACAGCAGACGTGGCTTTGGTTTGATAGAACAAACAAACAAAGTTTTGAACTGATACGACCAATGTTTAAGTTGTTATACACCGGTGGGTCATAAAATACAAAACAATAATCAAACATTAATTTTTTCTGTATTCTAGGTTGCTTCATTTGTTTCAAAACCAGAAGCGTTTTCTAACACAATTATATCAGAATTTCAGCAATTAGGCACGTGATCCAAATGTTTCCCCTTATAGAGCTGGTCGACATTACTTCAGACTTGTAAATTAACCACAATAGTTATTACCATCAAACATAGAGCCCTCCCCGCTGGCTCAACGTCAAGTTTGGGGGGATTATAGCACTAGATAGTTGGTTTCGATACCCGCGGTGGAAAGAGAACAGTTAGCCCATTTTGTAACTTTGCCTTTAAACAACAACAACTAGACATACAGCGCCCCCGCTCGCTGGCTCAGCGGTAACTCTGAGTGCTTATAACGCTAGAAATCGAGTTTCGATACCCGCGGTGGAAAGAGAACATTTAGCCCATTTTGTAGCTTTGCCTTTAAACAACAACAACTAGACATACAGCGCCCCCGCTCGCTGGCTCAGCGGTAACACTGAGGGCTTATAACGCTAGAAATCGAGTTTCGATACCCAAGGTAGTCAGCGCACGGATAGCCCATTGTGTAACCTAGCACTTAACAACAAAAAGAGGGGGGAAAAGAATTCATACACGTAACACGGAACAAACACATCATATAAATAATCCAGTGGACATTTATGAGAATACTTCGAAGAGAAACAAAAGTCAGTGAGGTCAAAATATGTATAATTTTTATGAAAGTGATGACACGCCAACTTTATGGTTTTCAGGGTGATGCCGAGAGGGAGCAAGGAAGATCACCCGTGCCCATGATGGACCGAACTAAACCCCAGGAGCAACCGGCTTCACAGGTGTGAAAACTGAGTGAATTATCATGTTTACTTTTCACTCTTTCTTTCTTAAACATATGTTTCCAGTGTCGATGTGACCAGTTTTACGATCAGTTCTAGAACAAATAACTTTCGTTTAAAACTAACTTAAGACTGATGTTTCCAGTGACGATGTGACCAGTTGTTTTTCTATTTTCTCAGGTGGGTTTCCTCACAGCTATATGCAAGCCTTGCTACGAGCTTCTGGCAGCTGTTATACCAGAAAGTAGGCCAATGTTAAATGGTTGTTTGTAAGTGTCATCTTGTAGACCGATATAGCTGACTAGATATTTGTATTATTCGTATTTCAGAATGAATGGAATTTTGTTGAACTTTCGTTTTTTTAAAGGACAAAATATCTTTTTTTTACAACGTAATCGAAATGAACGAAAATGAAAATCATTGTGAAGTGAATTTTAATGGTAAGGAAGTGAAATGGGAAGTAGAGTGTAATGGTAAGGAAGTGAAATGGGAAGTAGAGTGTAATGGTAAGGAAGTGAAATGGGAAGTAGAGTGTAATGGTAAGGAAGTGATATGGGAAGTAGAGTGTAATGGTAAGGAAGTGAAATGGGATGTAGAATGCAATGGTAAGGAAGTGAAATTGGAAGTAGAATGTGTAGGGGTAAGGAAGTGAAATGGGAAGTAAAATGTGTATGGTAAGGAAGTGAAATGGGAAGTAGAATGTAATGGTAACGAAGTGAAATGGGATGTAGAATGTATTGGTAAAGAAGTGAAATGGAGTCTACAATGTGTATGGTAAGGAAGTGAAATTGGAAGTAGAATGTAATGGTAAGGAAGTGAAATGGGAAGTAGAATGTAATGGTAAGGAAGTGAAATGGGAAGTAGAATGTAATGGTAAGGAAGTGAAATGGGAAGTAGAATGTAATGGTAATGAAGTGAAATGGGATCTACAATGTGTATGGTAAGAAAGTGAAATGAGATTTACAATGTGTATGGTAAGTAAGTGAAATGGGAACTACAATGTGTATGGTAAGGAAGTGAAATGGGAAGTAGAATGTAATGGTAAGGAAATGAACTGGAGACAAATTTCTTCACAGTTTAAAATGTGTGTGTGTATTTTGTTTTTCTTAAACAGAAGAAATTTAGCTCAGTGGCAGTCCCTGGTTGAACAGTTGAAAGAGTCAGAAGAGAACCAGCCTATGTCTGTTCAGTCCGAAGAAGAAAATGTGAAAGAATTAGAACAGAAGACTGATGGTGAAAAATGAATACTTATTTAAAGTGGAAGATACTGAAGAGAATTCTCACTAGAAACGATAAACAGATTTCAAAATATAGTAACGGTACAACAAAGTATATATATGTGTATATGTTTCAGCATATTTTGAAATATGTATATTTATTATTCTAGCGGTTTTCAGAATTAAAATCCTTGCAGAGAACTGTCAAAAATGCATGTATATAATACGTGAACTGAGATTTGAAAGTATTTTAGTAATTTTGTGGCAAGTCGATACCAATTAAATGTTCTAAAATTAATTGTCGACTTTGTTTTGAGTAGTGGTCTACAGTAAAGTTACATTTACTGGAAACTTGTTTTATTATGTAGATCAAACAAGTGTAATTAAACTGGGATCTAGAGTGTATGTGGTAAGGAAGTGAACTGGGATCTAGAGTGTATGTGGTAAGGAAGTGAGCTGGGATCTAGAGTGTATATGGTAAGGAAGTGAACTGGGATCCAGAGTGTATGTGGTAAGGAAGTGAGCTGGGATCTAGAGTGTATACGACAAAATAAAACTTATTTAGTGGAGACGACAAAACAAAACTTATTTAGTGGAGACGACAAAACAAAACTTATTTAGTGGAGACGACAAAACAAAACTTATTTAGTGGAGACGACAAAATAAAACTTGTTTAGTGGAG